GCTCTATACAGCTCAATGCTGTTTCAATGTGTCGGTGAAGCCTATACTGCCAACAAGAAACTGTGAGCAAAACGTGCGCATGGAGACTGCCAACTCGACAGGTTTCAAGTCCCGGCACCCCTTGATCACGACCCTGCAAAGTCCAGATCCCTGCTTGCAAAACCCGAGATCCCTCGTCCGCTCATAACAGCGCCTGAATGCAATCTGGGGCGCCAAGCTGTGCAACAAAAGATAGCCTACGGGCTTAAGGCAAAAACTTTGTCTGAGTACCTCAACTTCTTGCTCGACACGGTCTTCACCCGAATTCCCGTGCACCCAAAATCCAAATCCGCGAAGCCTAACCCTAAACTTCCAGTTTTCTGTCCTAAATGTTTGAAGGAATGACTCGTACCACAGAGCCTAAAGCCCTAAACTCGACCATCTAAAGCCCGATAAGCCCTGAACTTCCTCACGGAAGCTCCGTCTCGCCCACCTCCCACGACTGGGCCCCGCCGGTGATTGCGAAGGTCTTGCCGCTGCCTCTTTTGCAAAGCTACAGTACAGTAAAACCGCGAATGCTATACCCTAAGCTCAACCAGTAGACCCATAGACCCTTATAACCCTGAACCCTCGACTATGCATACATGCATCACGGCAAGAATCGCGACTGTTCTGCAAACGAATGTCCTGCCACTCAAGCCTTCCGTCCCAAAGTTTCACTCCGACGTATTCGCAGCCATCCAAGCCTGTGGCACCCGAAGCAATGAACATCGCCTGAGCACACCCCCTCCGATCTGTCGGGCAGGGTTCAGGCAGTTTAGTCGAAGGCTTCAGGAAGTATCAGGAAAGACGAATTGTATCGGGCCTCAAAAAGGCTCTTGACTGCTGAAGCGGTGAAGCCAAACGAGCATCAAAGGGCCGCGCTGCATCTGCATCTCTACTTCCAGCTTCAAACTACTCCGCAACGACATCGCAAGTCTGGGCCGCGGGGCACTTCGGAAGTGCGTCAGAGCTGCTCGCACATGGGCGTGGGCCTGTGACATCGGATGGAGACAAAGCTTGCAACTCGGGGGGGGGGCAATCTTAGGGCCAGGAGAAGTCCTGGGGTTTCCGAAGCATACGCACCTATCTTGGTACATGTGCACCAACATAACGTCGCAGTCTCGAGATCCATCGCTGCGCTCACAGCTCCCTTAGAACCGCCAGTCTGTCAAGTCAAAACGGCAAGGCCGAGTTCGCTGCCACATCGCGGAAGACATGGTCCTCTCTGTAGGAATATGAAGCTGTCCGTGACTGCAAATGTGCGAGCTATCCGTCGGAAGACACGAGCCCTCCCTGTGCAGGAAGGCTAGGCATCGGTATGTGAACTGAATGCGCAAGGTGCGCTTTACAAATGCATAGGCGGGGCAGTCCTGAGACGTGTTCGGGGCAAACCTGCAGCTCGCCGCAACCATGCCGGAAATGTGCAGATACAACCGTCTAGGTGAGAAGTTTCCGAACACCTCCTGCTGCTGCCCATCCGTCTCCCTCCATCCTAGTTCCTGCTGCCATTAGCACCGTCAGGATGAACAACAGCGGCAGCTCCATCCTCATCAAAGCTTCTCCAACATAACTGGCCTCTGTGTCCAGCTAACAACCCCAGCACAAGCTTCAACCACAGGCGTTGAACAGCATGGTCATTCTTCTGCGAGCTATTGCTGCAACGTAACACTGTTCGGCTACCGTATTAGGTGATGTTCCCACCCGGCAAGTTCGTGGGCAGTTTCTGGCAAGCCAACGTGAATGCGCTTGTGGCCATCAGCTGCCGCTGCAGAGCAGAATGCTACTGTAAGGCATCAAGCCTCTTGCCACCGCTGTCCGACCATCTGAACTCTCAAGAACTGATGACCTTGTATGCTCGGAGTCCATAGCTTCCCCATGGGTTTCTCGCAGCCAAGCCACACGTTGTCAAAGTAGATGACATCCTCCTCTGCAGCACCTGGCGCTACGCTCTGCGGTCGCATTTCTTGCATTATGTGGGCCCCGACTGCAGCTCCTAAGCGGCCCAAAGCCTTCCGGATTTCTAGCCTCCCCAAGCCAGCAACGGGACGTGACAGGACTGAAACGACACGAAGACATCCCATGACAGTCGATGCCCTGCTTTGCAGTCAGACCGACCTCAACCCCAGATATACCTGAACGGAATCCTACACCCACAACCTCAAGCGACTCAAAGCCCAAACAAACCCCAAGCCCCGGGTCGAGTGTGAAAGCCGCCAGAAATCCTGAACAGATTTCTGCAAACCATGTGAAAACCTCCCAAATACCCAAATCAAAACAAGATGAAGCCGCAAGAGGCCGCAACCTTAAACCCTCAAACCCTACGAAAAACCCTTCAACGATAAAACCCCCTGTAAACCCTAAACCCTATATACCCTTTTTTTGAGCAGGGACTGCAATGCACTAAGCCCTGAATCCCTTCAGCCAAGCTCCTGACTCCTATACCCTGAACTCCTAAACTCCTACAAACCCTATAACCCTATAACCCTAAACCCTAAACCCTAAACCCTAAACCCCTAAACCCCTAAACCCCCTACCCTTCTCGAGGCCTTGGGCCAAGCTTTGCTCTTCCAGGTATGGATCCCCCGAGGAGTCGCTCGTTGGGACCTCCGCAACATGTGTGGGAGCTCTCTAAATTAGGGGTCCCCTTGTTTTAGGGCTCCTTAAAGGGATCTATAAGGTCTTCTATAGGGTTTCTATGAGGGTACTATACGGGTGGTTCTCTAAATTAGGGGTCCCCTTGTTTTAGGGCTCCTTAAAGGGATCTAGAAGGTCTTCTATAGGGTCTCTACAAGGGTCCTATACGGGTAATTCTCTAAACTAGGGTCCCTTCTAACTCCTAAAAGGTGTATGGCACCCTTATGAAAAGGACCCCAACTTAACTTAACATTTCCTTGGGATCCCACTAGCTTGCATGAAGGAGATTGAAGGAGAGATCACCACACTGCGGGCAAACCTTGGGAACATAGAGGGTTACTGTACTAGGGCTACTTCGGGCTATACAAAGGGCTTACGACACCAAAGGCTACATTGGTTTGGGGTATACATCGGGCTGATTACTGGGCTAGTTACTGTGCCAAGGGGTATATACCGGGTTACCATTGCTAAGGCTTTATAAAGACAGGGATACTATGGTTTGCTTTTGGGGGCTTCCATACTATGGGATTACGAGGACAGTATCCCCCCACAAAATAACGGGGCTTCGATAGTGCCTCAAAGCCATTACGACTTTTTAAGGACAAAGCATGAACCGGCATTGTGAAAGGAAGCCGTTCCTAAATACGGACTGAGGGTCTTCTGTGGGTTAATCTCCTGGCGAGCATCCCGTGCCTACTGCTTCTGCACGATATGGCAAACATGACCCTCGATACCTACAGCCGTATAAACCACGAGCTGCCGGGGCTACATGCAGCCGGAGCTTTAGCTGGCTCGAGTCTTGAATGCTGCAGCCAACAGTAAGGGACACCGTGCCAGCACGGACATCTCTCCTTGAACAGCAAACGAATGAATGAACTCCGAATGTCAAAAGTATGGCCCCCCCACCCGATAAGGGCAAGTTTTCCGAAGATAAACTCTGAACGACCTGCCGAAGACGACAACCGTGAAACTCTCAGCAATCTGCCTGCCTCGATTTTGACCCATTTCGAGTCGTACTGAAACTTGGGGTCATTCAGCGAGCTGCTTGGGTGAATGATGCAATAGCCTCAGTGCGTCCAGACGTTTCCGGGCCATTTTGAAGTATGTAGACTCACGTTGCCTTGCATCGTCTCAATGTCAACTGCACAGCGCTCCGTTCCACCTCTGGCTGCTTGTCTTGGTCCCAAACTCTTACAGCCCGAATTCCGAAATTTAACCCGGGAAAACCCGCCTGCAGCACCCTAAACCTCAACCAACCATCTGGCCCACAGCAGCCGTGACTGCCGTAAGACCGGAGCTCTGCAAGGAAGAGCCTGACATCGTCCTGGTCTTGTTGCCGATAAACTCTATACGGTGTCTTTGATGTTTAATTAGGCATGAGTATATACATGCATGTGTACATACACACATAGTTTTGCCTGTCTGCCCGCATCCGTCTGTGTCCGTCTGAGTCTGTCGGCCTGTCTGTCTGCCTGCTTGTCTGTCTGCGTCTGTCCGTCAGACTGTCGGTATGCACTTTAGCATGTATGTACGTAGGTATGTAGCTATGTAAGTATGTAGGTAGGTAGGTAGGTAGGTAGGTAGGTAGGTAGGTAGGTAGGTAGGTAGGTAGGTAGGTAGGTAGGCAGGTAGGTAGGTAGGTAGGTAGGTAGGTAGATAGGTAGGTCGGTAGGCAGGCAGGCAG